TGATAGCACAATGATAGCAATACTTGTCCACGATTATCGTTATTTGCATCTTTTCCACGACCTTCAAGTTTCAGATCCACTGTGATAATTTCATTGTTTAGCAAATTTGCATCTTTCAACGAATATATTGCTTCGCCTAACAGTGTATCTCGACTGTACCGATCGAATGCAATCACCTAAAATGTATTTTAAAACCGGCTAATATTTCTAAATATTTTTAACAAGAATATACAATAAAATTATTTGTTCAAATATAATCAGTAAGTCAAAGTGGACCAGTAAAATAGTTGATGTATATAGAAAACTAAACAAATTTCATCAAAGAATTCAATTAATTAATGAAAGTTTTCTAACCGCAAAATGTAAACTTGTCGTAACAAGCTGTAATGTATCCATTCCATACATGGAAAATATTTCATCATATTGTGGATTTCTTGATGCACGAACAAGACGAGTTTTAACACGATGTTGTTTCTCGGGTAGTAATTGAAGTTTAACATATGGTTCCAACAGACACTGACCATCAGATGCTACTATTAATTCTGGCAAATCTCGACAAGATATTATATTAACCTGTAAAATAACTAGTTTGGGATTAATAAAATATATTGGTTCCCAAACCAATATTTTCTTAAGTACATTTCATTAAATGCAATCAAAGAAAGCTATTTGCACTTGACGTAACCATTTTCCGCTCTCTATAGCCGATGTGCTTTTTCATAAGTTATTACATCCATGACGATGTATTTTCGATCCTTTCAGGCACATTTCATCCAGCAAATTTGCCTATGCATAATTTCATTTTGTATAAGAGGACATCTGTCAATGTTATCAGGTAATCTGACCTGTAATGTTGAATTCTCAATACTGTAGTGAAGAGTGAAATTGATAAATCCTCGATGTGGTCCAAGTTGTGAAGGGGATAATCGATTCAGTGATTGTGGTGAAATAATGATTGGTACCACAGGACTAGTGTTTGAACTATCCGAGGAAAACGGTGATGAGAGTGATGACGGTGAATTTTTCAGACCTCCTGGACATTTCTCGTTCTCATATTTTAAGGCAACGGCAGTACGGGGTTCAATTAAAACATCACGTTTCTTAAAATTTGTATATCGTTGCCGTCGAAGGATGCATACCGATAAAACTGCTAAGTATGCAAAACCGGCTCCACCAATTATCAAATACAAGATAATATCTGTAATGAGGAAAATGAACCCTCAATGTTATCATATCAAACGTGACAATTTAATGGATAAATCAGAAATAGTACTAGAATTAGGAGTGGAAATGAATGGAAATCAATGTTTCACAATCTAAAATGCTATTTTTTATTCTTTATCTACACTTGCACCTATCTTCCAAATAATTGTTGGTAACTCTTCATAATTTTTGTCGAGTAAGATGGAAATGAAATTATCTTCTCTCTTAATCTTCTCTTCACTCAATCTGTAAGTATCGATGAAGCAAGCAAAAACAATTTAGAGTTAAGATAATATTCTCGACAGCTTTTAATATAACATTTCTTAATTGAAGTTTACATGAATAATCCTAAAAAATTTATAATAAGCTTAAATAATCCAACAAAAGGAAATCTTATTCCTAACTCCGCATTTCAATAAAAGATTAATTAAAATAAGTTCAGGAAACTGTCTGTACCTTTCCTTCTCATCCATTTGCTAAATTAGAAGCAGAAAAAATTGTGATTTTATAACAATATCAAAAAAATATTATTAATAAGAAAAATTTAGTAGCAAATTTAAGGAATTAATTTGTCAAATGCTTTTCCTTTTTCAAAGGAAAGTAACTTACTGGAAGAAAAATAGAATGTAGCTGAAGGCTTGATTGCAACCATCTCACAGTGACAAGTAGGGTCCGCCAAGACAAGAACAACCCTTTTGTTCCATCCTCTTGATTTCTCGTGCTAGGCTCAAAAGCTCTATCGATTTTTCAATCAATTCTGTGCATTCCCTAGCCTAAAATGACATCATTTTAGAAAGTCCTAACATCCATCCCGCCGATCCTTTTACCTTCACAAACTTCTAAGTCAGTTCGTAAGTGCATCTAAAATCAATGACTGCCCATTTAAAAGATTATCTTAATAATATACACTTGAAATCCTCATAATTTCCAATATGAAACGAAGAACTTCAATTAATTTCAGACGGCATAAATTCTGACCCTAAAAGGATTATGAATTATCAATGAAAGTAAAAAGATTTATTTTCAAAAAGCTTATTAAGCCGACATTCCTTCATTTTAATGGACTTCTTGGAATATCAATTTTCAAATCAATAATCGATATACATCGTTTGTTTTTACAAACTGCGCCTTTTACTTTTGTAAATTTTTATAACGAAAAACAAAAGCGCATTTTAACAAATGTGAATTTGTCTGAAATAAAGAAAAATTGAAGCGAAAATGTAACGAAGTCACGAAAAAATGCTTAAAGGGTACCTTCACTGAAAGGAAACTTCCAATTCATTGTTCTCTTTTAATCATGAATGAATGAAGAGAATATATAATGAAGTAAAATCGCTACTGAAAGATGCCTATTTGAAACAAAGGAAAACACCAGAAATTTCTGTAAAATGTGAACTGCGCACTTTTTCATACTTACTTTAAACCATTTATTCACATTTTAAACTATTCAAACAAATAGCTTTGCAGATAATAAAAATCGTCATAGCACGGAATATAAAAGTCTCTTATTTAAGTTTTTAAAATTTCATTCGATTCATGCCGAATGCTTCTTCAAACGAAAGGAATACGAATTTGGTTCATATTTATGTCTAAACTGAAATGACATACACAATTCGGAGTGTTTTTCTGGTAAATAAGCAAAAAGGAGAAGGATTTCATTTCCTTTATTATTGAAATTTCAAATGTTTCATACATACATTTTAGAAGTGTTGGAGTTTTAACGATAAATTTGCAAGAATGCAAATAATTATACAATAATTATACAATTATACAGTAATGTTGCAGCGTTTTGCAAATTTTTTTTTGGGGTACCAATCGCGTTCCATTTCTCCGTATAGATGTAATCCAACTTCTATCCAATGAATTTATTTCACTTTAGATGATATTTTTCCTTCCGATTGAAATATGCGCTAAGTGAAATAGATCGATGAATCATTCGGATATATAGTGCTTATTAATAATTAATAAATATAATTATATTTCATAATGGGAACGGAAGGACTATCCTGTGAAAAAATATATCAAAATGGTCTTTCTTACAGCTTGAATCAACAAAATTGAAAACTTTAAATTTGAGAGATTTTGAAAACAACAACAAAAGATGGCAGTACAATATAAACACCTTCTCTTTCCGCAATTGGATAAGATTTTTAGTAAACTGAAATCCAAGTTCCAGTGACATCAAGAAATTTAACTTCGTCACGATATTAAAGTCTGCATTTCATTGAGTCATGGATATCTTCCAACTCTTATCAGTTTTTAGCTATCAGAATTAATTGTAAATCAGAATTAGAGCTATCAGAATTAATTGTAAATCAGAATTGGAAGTATATCAGAATTGTTTCTATTATCCTATACCAAGTAATAATTTACTCTTTAAGAGGTAAATCAGAATTAATTGAAATTAACAATATAATTGAAACATTTTATAATTTCATCTATAAAACTACCGTCGCAATACAACTACCCGTCACTAACATCGAATTTTATATGGTCATTACAAGCAATACTTCCTAAAAACTCATTATATCAGTTTCATAATAAGCACGAACTGGTTTACATTTAACTAACTTCATAAGCATATAATCATTATGTAGATTTCCTTACATTACATTTGAATGAAAGGATATCATTTTTTTTTTAAAAAATGAACGATTACTCATTTCTTATTTTCCAACCAATTCTTTCACCAAGTAATGAAAAAGAAAATGTATCATCGATTTAAAAATCTAATTAAAGTCATAGTAGATAGTTCCGACATTCATTCAATTTTGGCAGCTGATAAAGTCAATATTAAGCTTAACTATGCTTTAAGTTAAAAGTCTCAATTTTCTTATATCTGCTAAAATCAAAAAAGTATCGTCGCCTTAAAACTACTACTAACGAATACAATCAGTCTATTCTGTAATTATTAAGTGGATATATATGACATAGTGGTTAAAAATGTACCAATAAATTGTTTTTTTGCTAAGACTTTGCTCATCTATAATCATACGAGTACTCATACCATTATGAATGAGTAAAGTCTTTTTTTTTGCTAAGACTTTGCTCATCTATAATCATACGAGTACTCATACCATTATAAATGAGTAAAGTCTTACAATTTTTAGAATTAAGCAGGTAGTTTGTGTTGTGGTGATATTAACAAAAAAAGGATCATTTGTCCCATTTAGCAATCATCTTGATTATAATAAAAACAAAATCATATATGGCATTTCCCAAGTGGACAAATTCTTTTAAAATCTACAATACATTACGATAAGACAATAATAATTTAATGACTGCAAAGGAGATATATTTTAACAAAACTATCAAATTATGACCGCTCAATAACAATTTGAATAAATTTTTGTTGGTGATGATTTAAACTATACATTAGTTGATAATGACTAATTGGCATATATTTTTAAAAGCAAAACATCCTTCAAAATTGTAACTAGATTACCCTAGATCTTATTAGCCTTTCAATCTACATCTCAAACATCTTCCCTCTCATCCTTTTAAAAATAAGAAAAAAACAAATAATCACAGCCCCGTAGAGATGCTAAATTATTCGAATTTGAAATTTAATTTTATTAAATCTAATTTTTATTTACAATTTCCTATCCTTGGATGAAATCGTGCTTCTCATAAATTCTACCTCAGCAAACGTTAAGAAACACTTAACAAAAACATTTTGCTAGGGAAGGTAACAATGAATTTGATGTGCATAAGATTGAATGGACTAATTTTCGCAATCCACGTACTATTGTCGAATTTTATTCTTCAAGATTTCGTCTGCAAAAATAATATGTTATTTTTTTCTGACTTACAAATATATTTCGAGTGCTTGATAAAAAAGTTCCAAAACACTCTTATAAACTATATTCAATCTACGTGATAAGAATGAAAGGACTGTGACTGATTATACACAGGTGATGAAAGAAATCAGAAGATTCAAAATGTAAAAAAGCAGCACAACTTCACTGCATGAGAAAAAAACTTTCATATTCTTGAAAACTACTACGTCATGCAATAAAAAAATATAAATAGTAAAATGCAATATATAATATAAAGTTTAAACAATATCAATTCATAACTTTTTCATTAGTAAGATAAAAAAGCTTTATATTAAAAGTAGGACAAAGATCGCAACCTCATGTTACATTCGTTTTTCTGTTAAAATTGTTTACAAGACATAGTCACAATAATATGAGTGGGAGTTGTGCATCAAAAATTCGTCAAAGTGCATCAATCAACAAATACAGAACAAAAGAAATGTGAAAGAAAAGTTGTTTTGAAACGAAAATGAATATCTAGAAAGAAATACAACGAATAAAGCGTAGTTCAAAAATGCGCCTATGATCCATGCAAATTTTCAAAAAGGAATAAATTAATGATAGATGAATACTACCAGCATGTCTTCATGAAAAAGCAAAAAAGCGATTACTTAATAAAATATAAAATAACATTCTTATCATTTAACTTCATTTTCCTAAGATGCTCTGAAATCAAAAAATACAACTATCTAATGTGCACAAGCAATAATGAAGCTAAAATTTGAATTTTGCAAAAACTTCAGCAATTGAAAAAAAAGCTGTGTTTTGTTCATTCCAAAAGTATCACAGAATGGACCGGTGTGTAACTTCCAAGCGTCATCACATTTTCTATAATATATATCAAATCCTCCTCCACTTATTACAAAATGAACCATAAACATTGACAGATGAATGGCAAGCGACAGGTTAGCGCAGAGCTGGTTTGGCTTAACTTGGATTACAAATGTGTCTGAAAATAATCATAGCAATAAACTTAAAATAAGTTTACTTAAGCACTTTCTTAAATTTCATAAATAAATTAACCTTATTGACTTCTCCACATAAATATAAGAGGTAAATTTTGTTCATATTACAAAACACTGATTACCTTCAGATAATATAACAAGGTGCTTTGTTCGTTTGTAAATGCCTTATAATGGATATTTGACAGGCAGCAATTCGACTATGCTTAACGGTTAAAATTACCAAAAACTTAATCAGCGATCAAAAAATAGACTTTTCACAGTTATTTCTTATATGGTAGTGGCACTTCATGGCAACCTTATAAGCACTGAAGTACCCGAAGCTTCGTACAATTTAATTTCTAATTTCTCACTGGCAGGGTATACAAATTTCAAAAAAGAGGTAAGCGACATGAGATTACAACAAAAAAGCGCAAATGCAAGCAATTGTAGCAAGCATGCAAGGGAAAATATAACATGAACTTTCTATGATTTCCTCCGAAATATCAGCCAGTTTCGTTCGAATCACAAAATTACAAATTACTGAATATTTTCAAAAAACTCACCATGACATTTTCTTCTGTGGAATGTAAATTGGCTGTTCTGGGCAGTTCCGTAGGATCAGGATCAGGAGCGAATAAACGTTCAACTTTCTTTTCTCGCGGCTTCCTGAATCAAATTTTAAGATAAAGAAGTTGATGAAAGGAATTGCAAGAAGTTTACATATACCCTCCCCCTCCCCTTTCAATTACGGTTCCTCGTATGCACTCACATGAAATTCCTGTGGAACATCCAAAAGATACAGAGATAAAGTCAAAAAATATGTTTCTCGAATAGTACTTAGAATCTACAATGAAATAAACTGCAGAGCGTCAAAGTAGATTTCAAAAAAACAAAGCACCTGACAATGCGTGCTCTATATGACTTCACCTTCAATCAAGCAAACGAACAAACTGTACTTATCTTCTGTTGCATCTCGTAAAACACTTAGTCAAAGAATATTTTGAATATTATAGAAGTTCACATAACTTAAATAACAGTTGGTTCAAAAGCAGCATGCTAGAAAAAATCAAGACAAAAACTTCCTATTGCTTAATAATTTGTGAGCTTGTAAGATTTAAATAAAAACTTTTTTAAATAATGGTTTTCTTATAAAGAAATAATCTTTACAAAAATTCCATTATTAAAAAACAATTTCATAGGCCTTTGAGAAAAATGAGAAGAAAAACTCTGAGCCTTAAACAAAGGTACCTCTTAAACCTGTATGAGCACTTTTCACTAAAATATGTATAAGAAACAAAACTCACTGCAGATTGCTGAAAGGTCTTCGTGAAGTATCTATCGCTGCAATTAATTCTCCTTCGTCTTTTTCTGTTAAGCTTCGTCTAGGTAAAAGCCGTTTGGAAGGACTGTGTCGTAGTGCTGAAATTTTGTTTAGGACATTAAATTAAAACCAATCACAAAATCAACATTCTACAAGCATGCTTGTCAATATAAAATGAAATTTTCTAGAGCCAAAATGTTAATAAATAGTCGTTTCGTAGTCCGTATAACAAGAAGCTGCCCTAAAAACATTTGCTACTTCCATGTAATTTTAGATTTCTTCTTTTACGAAATCTGAATCAATAAGTAATCATTCCTTTTCCAAAAATCAGCTGTAGCCACTACATGCAGCTGATTTTTGAAAATGATTGTCCACCAAGTCACAAGAAGTTAGTTATGAACTTACATTTGTCAGTGTCAAAGACTTCCGAAGTTAGATCATTAAGAGCTAATTAAGAGTTTCTAAGAGTGCCAGAAAAATGTGCCGATCATACACTACGAATATTCACAAACAAACATTGAGAAGTAAAATAAAGTGAACTAAATGTTAAATATGAAGCTGAAGACAATACTTGAAAGTAATTTCGTGTTTACATAAGGAATCAAATTTCAGGGTGAAGCATGCTGACGACGCTTACAAGGAAACTAAAAATCAAATGTGGAAAATTACATGATATTAAGTTCAATAAAAAAGAAAAACCAAAGATGCTTCAGAATCTGAAGTTAAAATCTACAATTTTTTGAAATAATAATAATGACACTCAACTAATAATATTGTGAGGCCTTCATTATTATAAATAAAGCGAAAAACTACCATGCAAACATTTCCACAAGTCAACTTCATGAATGCAATCTATTCTGTTATAAAAATTTCAAAGATTCTCGTTTTTTTAAAAGTCCTCTATAAGGAATGATACTGAAAATACCCAAATAAGATGTAACGACCGATTTGAACTTTGTGTGACCGCCTTTAGGTACCAACTCAGCTGCAAAAAACATGCACAACATACTGATTTAGATTTAAGATAAGAATTATATCAAATGTTTTTCTGAAAAATGCCAATAAGAAGAAACAAAAAATTTGTATTCCTTGAGAAAATTACTTTTTTTGAAATATGCTTTATCGCATTGAAGAACGAAAAACGTAATAAACAAACCTCTTACCGCGTTTCCCAACATGCAAACATCAACGAAATGAATTCAAGTTGGAAAATATAACGTAAATGATTACTATATTGACATTAATGCGGTAAATGATATGAAATTAATAATATGGTCACCTGCTGTCATGTGGAATACATGCGATTTGAGAAAAGTGATAAAACGCTGGGCATAAAATGTCGGATTATGAACAGAAATAGTGTCCTGAAATTTAAAATGTATTGAAAAGAAGTTCCATAAAGTTTCTATAGCCAGTTGCGAAATTCTATAACTTTGAACGGAAAACGTACACCATCATGAAGAACACTTTTCCAGGTATGTTCTAGTTTTTTCAATAACCTATAATTTTGCAAAATATCGATTATACCAAGAAATAATAACAAGTCATCTCCTCGTTGATTTCTTGCTGGGAATGATATCTGTCTGTAAAAATATTAAATAAAAATATAACACTTGAAATATATCCTAAAGATCACTTCATTTATATAACACAATTATAACATCAAATAAAAACTATTTAAAATCAAATAGTGGGAAACGTACTCGTACTGATTATAATAATCTGAATCCAACAATTTTTCACTTTTCACTCGAACAGCTTTACTTTTCGTTTTCTGTAATTATTTACAATTGTAAGACTTAACAAATTTTTCAACTGCTACCAAAAACAGTACTGGAATCATGTAGATGAAATACTCAAATGAAATAAAGTAAACTATAATACATTAAAATGAACGATGATTCAAATACGAACTTGATTTGAAGTCGATGGTTCACCACCATCAACAGCATCACCCGCATTTTTTGCTGTACTTTTATTATGAATGCCGACAAGAAGGCTATAATCCATTATTTTGAAACTTTCAAGAACCTAAAATATAAAGAATAATCAAAATCACTTTAAAACAGTATTTTACAAATCTTTATTTGTAAAAAAAATACCAAGCAATCTCGGCTAATAGTTTTCATAATGGCATCATATACTCCCACATCAAGTGTCAATCCGTCGGGATGCACAGAAATGAAATCCAAATCTTTCAATGTTGGTGAAGCTTTCGCGCGTTCGTGTTTCGATGCCAACCTTTTATAGGTGGATCCTTTTAAATCGTACTTTTCGTGCATCATAATTGTTTGAGGTAATAAATTATTCATCAGTAACAATCGGATATTTTTACCCAAACTCTGAAGCACAGTATATCAGTTATATGGAATGAGTGAATAAAGTTTGTGAAATTTTATTTTTAAGACAGCGACTAGGCTCAAATATAAAATAAATTACCTGGTAACAAAATAATCCAAAGAATTTTGGCAATAACGTATGTGGATTTTGATTAAAATTCTGAAATACTTCTGTATGTTTATTGAAGGAGTTTAATATTTGAAGATGCAAATAATTTGCAAATAATTGATCAAATTCAATAAAGCCTTTAAAAAAATTGTGGTGAAAAAAAAACATTAAAAGGTACGCTTACCATATAATAACCCGGAAGTAATTTTTTCAGAAACTCAGCTTCTTTAGACTGCACCGTTTTAATTATAAATTGGTCATCATGTGAGACATAAAATATGGATCCAGATGCACCTGCATTTGATAGTTCTTTCAATGGAAACATACACACAGAACGCTGAAAACACCTGCACGGAATGAAGAAAAATTGAGAATAAGCTGAGAAAAGGAACGGCGAGGAAGAAAAAGTGGAAAGTTTTTTTGAGAAGACAAATGTTACAAAACAAATTCAGCTAGAAATTTTTGAAGAAAAATTAGCAAAATTTATAAACTATTTAAAAATCTCACCAAAAAATCGGCAGTTTTAATTGCAAAAAGATCTCGAAAAGTTCGAAACGCAATCGGGGCATAAGTCTGGAATCTAAAATCACCATAACTGTGAGATGGTGTTGATTGTGATCCACTTCTGTAATGTAAGTTATTTTCCTAAAATATTTGGCAAATCAAGAAGAATGCAAATGTTATAAGCAAATTCATTTCCTACAACTTGATACACTTACAACTGAAAGTAACTGAAATATTGCCGGATATATTGAATGCTATGTTAGAGCGTCACAGTCCTTTCAAAACAGAGAGCCAGAACTTATTTAAGAACATACGATGGAAAAGAAACAGTATGGATAACATCAAAATCCTGCAGTAGGAGATCTCTCTTTGGTATAGAAGCTAGTGAGCCTACTGAATTCGCAATTCCCAATTGTATTGCTCCCATTAATGCATTGCTCGGGACACGTTTGTAACTCACCTTAAAATATGAAATGAAATGCAATAAAATCAAACTACGTATTTTCATCTAAAGCAAAGCCTAAATTATAATCTGTTTAGATTAAAGTTGTGATGGATAACAAAAATGAAATCTATTGTTCTTGATTCAATCCAATTTTCATCAGCTTTAACAAGACAACGTATATTTTATGTTTATTTGCTGTTTTATCTGCTCGTGCTTTCACTCAGTAAATTATGAAAGAATTCAACATCAACCTCGCCCTGTCGATCTATGCGTCGATGACCAATTTTTTGCTTTTCATGTTCTTCTTGATTTCGTATCTCTTCTTCGACTAAAGATATGTTGATTCAATTTCTACATCTAATATTTTAATTCATAATCTGCTCTTCCAAATAATTCTATTAAGAACCAAGCCCCATATTAAAAGTTTACTCACCGAAATAAGCGTTAGCACGTAATGATCTAGCGTTAACCTGCTTTCCGGAGTCCATATTCAAAATTACATCAGATGGAGAAATTTCGTCCTTTTTGGAACCCATCTTGCCTGCTGATTAGTATTTGGCAAACTGAACCTGCAACTGATCGATGTACGTCAATTCAGTAATCTACTGGAGAAATAACATTACTGAAATCATAGTCTTACAAATCCCATTCCTAAATTAACTAATTATGTTAAGCAACACTAAAAAATATGCCTGGATTCTGCATCTAAAAAGAATCGAAAATTTTTATTAATAACAATAAAACTTACTGAAAATTTTCTTAAAAATAAACAGATTTTAATGTGAAAATTTATCTCTTCATTCTATCGGGTCAAAAATTAAATGCATGATTTTATTATATGAAAATTATATGAATCACACCATTCTTCACTTCAATATGAAGAAGTGTATGAAAAAAAACGTATTCTCAGTATCATTTTTGTAAAGCGCGTTAAGAATTCAAAATAAATATTTCATACCTTAGGTAACAGATAATAAGACGCAATGTATTGATAACGGCTCCAAGGAACAATAGTTTAAAATTTCCTATCATCCATCTGTAGAAATAAAACACATTACGACTCATATTAATTTATGGGTGAGCTTCGGCAGCAAATTTAAGCAAAAGTGGCTTTGTTAATTGAAAATGGTAAATCTAATGAAATGTTAAGTAACTCAACAGACCATTTATGTAACTGAAGAAGTCTTTAACATAATGTAAATTGAATGATAAAATCGAAATTCTTCACTAGCTAAAAAAAGCGACAGTATGTTGGCTTCTTCGGTAACAGATTTCAATGAGACACTCTAACGTAAACAAACAGTGTGCCACACCACAACATGACTAATACTCACCTCTCTACATCCAAACATTCATCGGGGTACCATCCCATGACAAAACGAATGACACAAACCAAGTCCTTAATGATCAGTCCGATAGTATCGCAGTTGCACCACGGTGACACAAACATCCCCAATCTGTTAGGAACACATGAAATGTCCGCAGACGGAACTATTTACGAGACATAAACGACGATCAGGAAAGAAAAGCATCAGCATATATAGATTCTAATGAGACTGTCTTGGCAGAATTTCAGTAATAAACAATTTCACCAAAAAATCCTTCCTCATATGCAAAGCAATCGCTCTATCCCCACTTCTACATAGGCACGTACAGCTAAATAGATCGAAATTCCATTTCAAGATGGAATTCTTCGCATTATGGTCAAACACATTTTCATATATAACACTGATCTATTACGAAACTAACTGCCCACTTCTCAGTACATTATTCAGTGATTTTTTTAAAAAAGTGTATAGATTGCTATCAGTGGGATTTAAAATTTATTTCACAGTAAAATAGAAGTACATTTTATGAAATAAAATCGCTGAAGTATCCAGAAGGTGCTGAATTGCTGATAAAGGCATTGCCTTATGTTTACGATGCTTAAAGAATGAATACGAATAACCTTACCAAAACTGAAGATCTGCAATGAGGTGAGAACTGCGTTCAATTTATACAGCAACGAAATCAACTATGAAAGAATCACTACTACGTCGTCAATTTTCTTCGTATGCATAACAAAATTAAAGCAAGATTGGTTTTCTTTCTTAGTCAAGAATCATATTACAGAACAAGAAATTAATTCATTTACAACTGGTTGAGTACACGAGACTGGTTGCCAGCAATAACTCTGGATCTTTTTCTAGCAACAGTGCCCCATTCAACACAATATTTTGGAAGTCGTCTATCCAGTGGATTTGATAAATGCTTTACTGTGCCAACATCCATGACGAGCATCGTGATACTCGTGTCGATTAAATTTAGACGCACCTTCGTATCACCATTTTTAAACCGATGCACCTAAAAATTTCCCATAATAATCCATAGATAACGGATTTTCGTGAGCAGTTATTACTGAAATTAATTATATGATATATTTTATTCTAAAACTCAATAGTACACGCAATAAAATTCAAGCTCGCAACTAGCTAAATAATGGGAGGAAGAATACCAAGTGTTCGTTTATTTCATGCAACTATGATAGAAAAAAAATCGGTGGTCTTACCGTATAATCCGGCGAACGCCACTCCACTGAATCATCGCTAGAAATATGACTAGCATAGGATCCATCCATGCGATGGCATGAAGTTTGCGTTGCCCGGTGCACCGTTTCTGCTTCGTCACGGCCTTTAACACGAACTCTGCCATCCAGTTCATAACTTAAATATAAATTTTAAGAAAAAAATACGCTTCAAATAAACTGCTTGCTGTGATAAAACTAAAAAAACTAAGAGAGAAGTCCTTTTTTGAGAATTTTTGTTATTGCAACAGATATAAAATATCTTCTACTTTCGAACAAAAACGCACTTCATTTAAAAGACTTGTGCATAAAAAAAAACTAAAGGCGTACATTTCGACACGCACAGATCCTGACTTATCCCTTATAATCTCTATGCGACGTCCATCAGATGTCATTAAAGTAATTTCACCGCTTCCACGATAAATTTCCAGCTGACCAGTTAAAAAATGCCGAACAAGCAACTTTCCCTCACATATCTCAACAGTAGTTGCACCTGCTTGTCCATAATAATTTACCTGCAAGCGAAACAGAACTGAAATTAACACGAAAAAAGACTCGTAAGGAGGTGATCATCTAATTTCAATCAACTTTTGCCGGTTGACACTTGGAATTTTCCCATTGCTACTATGAATTTAATACATAAAAGTTGCTATTATAAATAATACTTTGTATTTAAAGCGACAGAATGACATTCAACAAAGCGGTGCCACTATGAAATTAGGAATGCGCATAACATAAAGTCATATATAAATCATTTCGAAATGACCTGATAAAGTTTGCTTGAATGTATCCAACGAGTATCTGTGTTGCTGTATTCATAAAAATGACAACCACAATGTGTTACAGTGTAGACGGTAAAATCTTTCTCACTGCGATACAATGATGCTCTTCCAACCATATTATTTTCAGTTAGAATTAATTGCTGCAAAAAGAAAAGATATTTCATTGGCATTTCATTTGAAGAATAAAGAAAGAGTATTTGAAAAAGCGCATTATTACGTAAAAAAATAGAAAATAAATGGCAAACCATGTCAGAATTTGCATGATTCAGAGGAAAATGAGCAGAAGGTGGTGGAGAAAATGAAGCCATTGTTGCAAGAGGTTCGTTCCACCGAACATTTTTTCCCAGACGTGCTGGTGTTACTCCTTGTTCAGTAATTATGACATCTTCATTATCGCTTAGTGTGTCCGTATTTTCAACAATATTTACAGTATTTTGCATCCTACTTGGAGCATTCTGAAATCCATTAAGTTTAACTATTACTGGACTTTCAACGCGCAACATTCAAATATTGCGTTTTTCGGATTTCAATATCTTCAACCACTACATCCTGACTAAGTTCTAAGCTGTGCCTCACTTCTTATTCCACTAATCCAATGCTGCACGAGGTTCCACTGAACTTAACAAGCACTACAAAACTTGCTTTTCACGCTGGCTGCAATGTATTAATCACTGAGCAGAGCGAAACGCAAAAAACTTTCTTAATACCTGAGTGATATGTCTTCCATTATCTGTTGTATTCGTTATAAAAAATTCATTATTCTGAGGAGTCAAATCTTTTGTAGATGTCGTAACAGTTGCATTCTTTGAAGCTCGAGCAATCGCCTGAGCAGAAAGAATATTTTTAGCTATGCGGCCTCGAAGAGCTGCTTTATTTTTCTGAAAAAAACATTTTCAGAGAGAGGAAATTTTTTCATCACTAATCAATTCTAATTTCTTTTAAACGATTCGTGCAAGCAAGTCGTTGAAAGCTAATTTTTAAAGTTAAAACAAAAATGACAATAATTTCTAAAAGGTTGATATCTACTGTTCAATATTGAATATATTCCCACATACAAACAAAAAAAAACTGAGGTGTAAGAAAAAGTGCATTGCATTAGACAACCGGAGGAAGACCACTCGGTGATCAGCAAAGAAGTTCTTCCTACACCCAAACTTGAACCAAAAAGAAGAAAATAATAATCGTCCTTTGATTGTTAAAGAAACAATTAAATCTGAGTAGACCAAGTGTATGAATAATTTTTAACTTTGCACATTATTCAAATATATGAATAATGTGCAGGGTTAAATTTTAGTCAATAGAAAGACTTCAATTCTTTTTTACAACAACACCCGATGACATTCCGCTATTTCGATCAATCAATGCTTCAGAAATTAAAAAAAATAAAAATAAAAAAAAATATTCCACTTCATCTGCTAAGTTCATCTGATCTTCCGTCAATCGACCACCTCCTCTTTAAATCTCAACAATTTTTCGTGAAAAAATCTTTTACAATCACGATGCAGGAATTGCTTTCTAAGGATTTACTACTATGGAATTTAATATTTGTAGTGCAAGGTCGATTTAACGTTTGCATCAATCTAACATTTGGAACTCAGTGGAAAACATTTAACTTTTGAACGTTTCTAAGATTAGCAGGGATAAAAATGTTAAAACTCTACGTGATGCAACATACCGTGATGATTGCGATTCGTTTTTCCAAGCGTGTTTTTTCGCCCTTCAGTTGCTCAATGGTATCATTTTTTTCTTTTAAAACTGTATTGCTTTTTCTGATTTGCGCTCTCAACTCACTGCGTTGCCGATCAAAATCCCGCACCATTACACGAAGATCGCTTATCTGAAAAAATGCTTTAAGCTTTTTATTTCATTCAGGAAATGATTTACAGTAGCTTGGAAATTGTCAAAATATTACACATTTTCAAAATTTATTTTCAAGTGCTTAAAAGACTTTAGTCGATTACAGATTAACTGGGTAGTTCCATCCTTCATATAAAACAATTCACAATAAATTAGGAATTTAATCCAAAGGAACATGAACAAAATACAAATCAGTATTGACCTGTTCTTTAAGCAGATTTACCAAAACAGTATCACTACCATCCTTCTGCTTTTGCTGTCGATTCAGAATAGCATTTTCCCGTTTTAAACGTTCAAAATCAGCATTGCGTATTTTCTCTGCCTCTTCTTTTACAGCAAGATTTTCTTGTTGTGCTTGCTTATCCTCTTCCAGTTGCAAAATACACCTTTTCAGTTCCTTTACTTGTTGACGAAAATATTCTTTCTCTTGTAATGCTTGGTCGAAAACTTCTTCCAGCTGAAATTTAAATGCAAGAGATTAGAGACTAACCTGGAAACTGAAATATCTTGACAGAAGCACACTTCATGCATAACATGAGAAATATATGGTGACATTCAGATTCATGCTAGATTCTTCCAGATTCCAATTCTCATGAATTAACCACACAGTGCGTAATCAAAAAAATCGCAGAAATGCAGCACCACATATTACAAAAAAGAAAAAAATCACCAACAATGAAACAGACTTTTCAGATGAATTCATACCCATTCTGAAAGAATAAATGCTAATTTATTGTTTATAGGCAAAATTAACATTTATAATACTTGAAACTGTTTACCAATTTGCTCAAGAACAATCTAGAAAAATGAATAGTGAGATATAAAAGGTAGTAGTTGACCGAAACTATAAATAAATATCCCTTCTTCCGAAGAACTTCATTGTCCTTCGCAGACTTATTTAATTTTGTTTTAAAAATGAAGCACACACTCTTTCATATTGATGATGGCGATACTCTCTTGCAAGATCTACATGAGCAATGAGATCCCTCAACTGTTTTGCAAGATTCCGTTCCGTCATGTTAATTTCGACCTTTTGCTGTATTTTCTGCAATTAATTTAATCCAGTAGTTTAGTAATTTAATTATTTGAAGATTAGTTCTGAAAATTTTCCAATAAATAAATATTAGCAGCACAAAGAATACTTTTTGCCTAAAAAATGCTTAATAATTCTTTCTGCTTGTTTATAAAGTAGCAGTGCCCATCGAAATGAGTGATTTTCGTCAATAAGATAAGATAATACCTTTCCTCCTGAAATATGTTCTGCAGTCAAGTTTTCCAAAGATTTTTCTAATAAAACAGTATTCACTTTCTCCGCATTCTTTCCAACTTTCTTCACATGAGCATAAATATCACTCCCTGTTTTCTGCAAACTTTTCACATGATTTTTAATGTTTTGCATTCCAAACACTAGTAATGAATAATTCAACAAAAATTATAAACCGATAAAAACCTATACACATGAATCAGACCTCATTAACAGTGGACGGTAATGTTTCTTGTGCAATATGTGACTTTCGGTGTGTTTCTGAAACAGTTTTGTTACTATAATATATTAAAAAGAAAAAGTAGAGATAACATCTGATAATTATATCTGAATTTTCAAGCTTGAAGTGCTCCCAAATTTCCTCACATACACAAAGACAAACTAAACACAGGAAAAGCTTACCTTTTTGGGATCTCCTATGCCAATTCATGAAATGTGGAATTTCCTTTGAAAGCCGTTCCGATTCATTTGAACTTGCAGCTCCTAAAGATCCTCCCTTTGCAGAGACCGATTCAAGAGGAAGAAGCTCCTGGTAAGATGGAAAATTAGTTAACTAAATCACTGATTTATAAAAGTATTGAATTAAAACTTGATTTAATGACTACTTTTTGCTTGACTTCTGATGCAAACTCCCGAATAACTTGTCGCCAGTGGCGCGATCTTGTACCATCAGTATCCTGAGAGTCCTCAGATGTCCCTGGCGAAACCATGTCCTGTATTTGAGTTTCGAGATTTCCCGCAATCGAGCTTTCTACTGATGTGTTGGTAAACGCTGAAGTTAAGTCACTTTGATTAGACAGATATAAACAATCAGTGCACAAGCTGACAGAATTTTATAACTGCAAAATGAAGCAACAATTGAAAAATTCAATACCTTTCTGTACAGTATGGTCGTCATCATCAAAATTTCCCGATACTGCAGAAACGATGTTAGTTTCATTTGTTGAAAAACTACTTAAATCACGAATTACTGACGGTGCACCGCGATTGCTTCGAACTTCTAAAACAATACATCAAACAATACAAAATGTTAATAGTAATCTCTTTTTAATATTACCAAAAAATGAAAATGATAAACCGGATGAAACTGCTGAATTGCTGTCACTGCAATCAGTAACATCTATGACCACTGATTCAACGCCATCATCTTTTTTGTTACTGTTTGGACTAAGCACCACCGAACAAGCATCTTCCGGACAACCGCTGTCAGCAGTGCCAGCCGTATATGGCCGATTTAGATCCTGAGCTTCACTGTCACCTGAAAATGCACGAAAATTTTATTACAAATAATTTCACGTATCAAAGACAATCGAGCACACTGCTCCGATAACCAATTCTAAGCAGCACTTTTGAAATTTTGAAATGGACCAATTTATCAACGAAGAGTTTCTAAACAAGATCCCAAAAAAACTTACTAGTGGGACTCTGAGTGTCGCTTGAATCATTTGACGAAGCTGACTGCTTCTCTACGGCGCTTACACTTATTGGATAATGTATTCTTTCCTGTAACAAATCCGGCCAATAGTTTAATATAAGAGGCTGCCAAGAATTTAAATCAGAATCAATTCAGGAATACTTATGGAAATAATCTCTCTTGAGTCTTTAAAAAAAAAGAACTTATGAATTTCGTAGAGAACTTACCATCAGTCGTCCCGAAATGCCACTGCGTTTCTTCAAAAACGGCTTTGGCGGCAGCATCACTGAGCAACAGACCAGATTACCTTGAAATAGTACTGTACTTAAAAACTCTTTTTAAGGAAATATTTTCTCTCTCGAGTCTTGAAAATGACGTAAATGACCTTTACAATTAAAGATTAACATGCGATAAAATTAAAAAAATAATCATTCAGGAAAAAAACAATGCATACTAACAAAACACAGTAGTGCGTTGCTGGAGATTTAGAACTTTCCAAATAAATATGCTATCCAATAATCGAGAGTGAAGAGTGGAGATATTGCGGTAGAAGAGGCACGATGATTAGAATCAGTATTAATTATTCAGGAAAAGAATACGAATGATTAATGCTGAAGGTAAGGAAAATAACGTGGAATTCGGGATGACTGCTAAGTAATCTGTGCTTTTTATAAACTGATCTAAGATAACTGTACTGGAGATAGCAAAAATACTACTAACTGTACCAAAAGCCCCCCGCCACCTCAATAACTTCCACAACTATTTCATCCATTCATAGAAGGCGTGGACTAGCCGCGTAGAACCATTCGGTCAAACAGATAATACTATTGAGGTAGATGGTGGGTGCATGCCGTATGCTGGTGCTTTCTCACGTGACTGTCTCGAGATTTATCTTTCTGTCCTTCACGTAGATATTCATCTTTCTCTTTTAACAGTTCATTTCATTTTCACTGTAAGTAATAATTATCTAGTTGCAATTGCTTGTATTCCTTAACGTCTGTTGTATATGTAATCCAGATAATTTTTGTTTTCCGCTATGATGGCAACTAACAAAGTGAGAGTTGGATCGTCGTTTGAGATTCCCTCAGCGGCAAATCAACACGAATCGAATTCTTTTCAAAGGTTTCAGCTCTCTTTTACAATTTAGTAGAATAGAATCTTGCTTCGGTTAGTTTTTAATTTTACGACGATAATGCCCTTTGTATTCACTTCTGCAAATTCTATTTGATAAAGAAGGAAATGAAAATTTTAATGCTGTAGAGCAAGTCGTACACATCTTTTATTAATCCAGCTGGACATATTATTTATTCTTTCCTAAACATTTCTACCCATCAGCGACATAATGACAAAGTTTCGATTGCTTCTGTAATGCAAGTGGAGAACAATTTTTAATTGAAAATTAAGGATTAAAGAGCTTGAAGTGAGAACATTCCTGTATATGATAATCATGTTTCAGAAAGAAGAGACGTTTACATGCTGACCAGCGTGCACAACTTACATACCAGAAAATTATAGCAGAACGGAAAGCTGAAAAGGAAAAACGTCTGCTGGAAAAAGAAAAGAGGCAAAAAGTTTTAGAAGAGTACACTTCAATTAAACGGAGAATGAACAAGGCATTGTCAAAAAAGAACAGACGAGGACAACCAAACCTCAATGCTCAAATAGAAGTTTTATTGGAGAAGATTAAAAAACGAGTGGGAAAATCATAACCACCTCCCGTCATCGCTTTGTTTCCTTTCTTCACATGTTATTTCATTCCAAAACTTTTTATAAGTTGTACCCAAAATATTTTTAGCATTTTGCTTTATTAGTGCGTTGTTTACGTCTTTGATTATTGTTTCTCAACTACTCAAATAAATACTCAAAAAACAATTCCCATTTGAGTTCATTGCAACAGTACAAATGGTAGATCCGATTTATTTTGATGCGCTAATTGCAACTATCAAAAAGCATACTGTTTTAACAGCACTTATGCCAAATCATGCTTTTATTTGAATCCGCAGAATCAAATTCTACAGAGAATACTTCAATTACTATCGGCAAGAATGCAAAATGACATGCATCGTTGCAACTTTCAGTTTATTAATTTGGATAAACTCGAATTAGTTTAGGAACAATCCAGGAACAAAGTTGATGGCTTCATGACAGACGGAAAGACGCGATCGCTGAAACCAAATGAGTTCCACTATCGATGTAATTATCTTTACGGAGCAGCAAGTCTACTCTGCTCACGTAAGTTTCTCATATGCTGGATTTCAAATCTGAATTTTAGCAGTCTCTGAGTATATAGAGCACTTTTGCTTTAGAATCATCTGGCAACATTGGACTGGAAACCCTTAGCAAACTTTACCTTCGTGAAATGAAAGAACTGTGTTTGGTTGAGATGATACGACTGGAAAAGGATTTTGGCCGTACGATCTGCAAGCGCTGCAAGAATATTTTTATTGCTCGCCTCGATGGTACTCAGTCGATCACCGTAAGGTAATTATTAAATTCAAATTGGCGTCAAACTGAGTACCTCACTTTTTTGGATACAAGTTTATAATTGAACAGGTATTTCACAACGGGAAATCCAGACATGAATTTTATTTTCAAAGTATGGAAAGTGTATGTCTAAGTTTCTAAATTCAGGAAATCAAATGGACCAGGAATAAAATGAACTATGGTTTTTTCTCGTAAAAAATTCTAAAAAAGACGTTTGTAGATTTATGTAAAAGACAACAAAAAATGAAAATTCTTTAATGAAAAATTCTGAGTTTTCAGACTCAATAAAAAAAAGCAAATGGTAAGGACATGTCTCAGCTGTGGGGCTAAAAAGCGTTTCTTGAGAAACACCAAGTATCTCTCTCGAAATGAACAAGATCAATATCAAAAAGAAACTGCAAAACAACAAAAGGAAGTGTCAGCTGAAGCAGTTCACCATACATTTCCTAGCAGCAATTAATGTGTTTGGGATTTTTCCTTCTATGCGAATTATTACAACTTCTTCGCTTAGTAAATGAAAAATAGGGGAAAAAGATGTCTTTTGGTTTTTTTTTGTTAGATTTGAAACTATTAGGGATAAACCAAGGAGTCAATTCCTTAGTTTATCCCTAATAGTTCCAAATCTAATTTTTTCCTGAGTTGTCGAGCAATGATATTTTTAAATTAAGTTAACGACTCTCGGAACTCCTCGTCAATCTAAATGCTCCTCAGAATTGTATCTTTCTTTCCATAAAATTTTAGGCTTGCGATGGTTGGAAAAATGCTTGAATCAGCTTTTTGCCAAATAATTGACACAGTAACGACATAAGTCCAGGAGTTAGAGAACTGTGCATTCTTCCTGTAACCAGGAAGCTAATTACTTATCTAGTGGAAATACTTTGAACAGTAACAACAAATTCAACTTTTTATATATCAAAATATTTTATCATTCAGGTGATGCTTCGTTGCTTGTTCCTTCCAGATCTCTCCTCGCTCGCACTAGGAGTTCATCTTCTTCCTCATCATTTTTCCTATTTTCGAGAGCTAAAAAAATTAGAGGTTATAATTTACAATAATACATTTAGTAGAAAAAAGAAAAAAAGAGCAGCAATTTTTTGAAAGGAATTTACTTGGTAGCATGGAATTCCCGCTCGCAATCGTTGAATTGTAATCTATTTGTTGGCTCTCATCACTTTGAAGTTCCTAATAAATAAATGAAATTTCTATCAAACATCATGCATGATGGCAATCTGGTTAAAGAAAAAGAAAAAACTTGAATGAAACCAAAATTCTAGGTTAAATTCATACTGTCGTACACTTTACAGAAAATTGAGTATTTTGACGAACAAAAATGGGCAAAAAAATATATATATCTGTATGACTTAATGAATTCTCAATATATTATTGTAAGTGTTTCATTGGCAAAATAATCACCATATAGAAAAATGGATTTGAATTTCAAATAAAGTTCGTCATCAAACGACTAGAAATTTCCTAGCAATTGTCTGTTATAACTACTAATTTTAAATGAATCTTGTAAGAATGCAGAATCACAATTGTTACCTGAGTGGTTGGCCAGCTGTTTTCAACGAGTTCTAACTGATTACCTAAACGGTGTATACAAACTGCACGATCTTCACCAACGCTAGCTATATACATTCCGCTTATCGAAAATGAAAGACCTTTTACCTGAAATTCTATTCAGGTTGACGATTTTCTGGAATTTTTTATGCGACTATCCTTAGTTAAGAAAGTTTCTGAAGAAGAGTCAGACTATGTAAACATTCGAAATGGTAAATGTGAAAGATCGTCTTACTTCTCTGATTGAAAAAATGTTGCAATTTGACAAGGCATCATGGGAAAAAGTTCTGGGGATGATTTTTCTTCCCTCAAATTAAAGTTTGATTTCTCTTTAAAAATTCATTTACCGAAAACAAGGTGCATTTCGTCAAAGGTCAAATTGAAAAGCTGCTAGAGAAGCTTCTAGACTTGTTATAATTCTAGAAGTAATTTGTAACCATCATAATCATTGTTCCAGGAAGAAAAACTAGCCACTTTTCAAATACTCACTTCTGATTTATAATAAAGAATTCAAAGTATGTTGCGTAAATGAATCTTCAGAAACCAACCACTCCTTCATGAGCTCCTTGAAAAAAGTGAAGTGCACAGTCTTGTGTAATATTCCATAAAAATATACAACCATCATTCGATGAACTTGCAAATCTGTAACTGATCAAATTTTTATATAAATAATAAATAAACTGTGGAAGTAAAAATTATACAAAACACAAACATTTGCGGATCTCGAGGGTTATATCTGACTGCCGTAATACAACTTCGATGACCACAAAAGCTTTTAACCAATTGTGCCTTATCTATACGGCTGAAAACAGATCTTTATTAAATTCGAAAAAAGTGATTACAAACAACAGATTTCTTCCCCATTCATCAAAAAGCGCAAACTGGAACTTGAAGACAAATTGAAATAAAAAAAAACCAAGAAAATTTTCAAAAATTTAGTGCAAGGGCAATTAAATTTCTCTAAAAGCTTACATTATATAAAGTTTGACGATTTTATCGTCCGATCCTGTTAACAAAGTATCTGATGATGGGGAAAAACATGTTGCTCTTACTTTGATTGCGTGTGCTGGAAATATTAATTGAATATAATCTCAGAAGTGTTTGGTGACTTATACAGACAAAATTTCAGAAATTCATATTCTAATAACAAACCTTCAAAGAAAAATCGAATTTCAAGTTTTGGTGCATTGAGTATTGTAACAATCCCTTCATTGTTAGCTACTGCAATCATTTTGTTGTCTGGACTCTAAAACGAAGGTGAAATTTTTCATAAAATCAAACATTTAAATGAATTAAAAATTATATTAACACATGAATAAAAACTATTGCATATACAAAACCATGAAAGCCAAAATATTTGTCGCTTTATGTTAGATACATTCTTAAATAAATATGACAAATTGAGAGAGATCAAAAGTTTATTGCGTGGATATGACATGAGCTGGCGATAATTAAAAAATCGCTATTTTCTTTAAGTATCTCCACAATTTCTTGAATGAAAAAGACTTTCGCAATTTGTACAGGATTCATCAATTTTCAAGATATGGAAATAAACTTAAATTTTATAATTTGAAATTGACCCAACAAATTTGCAGTCTCTTTGCATCACTCTACCATTTTTAAACGAAAAAAAATGAAAACACTAACATATGATAATGAAGAGACTTGTCGTGCTCCTGGAAAACTGAGGTTATCATCAGCAGTACCTTTTAAAGAAAGCCGCGAAAGAAATCCAGAAAAACTTACTGAAATATGGAGAGTTTTATAAAGAGTCTGCATCAAGATAAGTGCATTCAAAAATAAGAGAGAACTTTAATGAATCTAGAAAGCGATTTTCCTAATATTCTAGTCCTGGTCTTTATCCTAAACTGTCAGTGCATTTCTTCATCCTTTACTCTGTTTTTATACTAATCATAAAGAAAATAAATAATACAAAATTTCAACATATTACCTGTAAGATAACGAGTTCGGCAAGGTGATATTCTGACAAACCACTGTTCCATGAATCCCATGTTAAAAATATCAGCACTATATGTGAAGTCTGATAAGGACAAATGGAATACATGCATCAAAGAATCGATACCGACAACTGCTATCACTAAAATAAATATAGATAAAAATTCTGACAAGTACAGATTTCTGAAATTCAGAAGAACACTTACTAAATATAAAAATGTTTTGAAACAGAAAAATTCGTACTTGCCCCATCGGGCGTTACATCGAAATCTTGCGCTCCGCTTCTCCACCCTTTGATTTCTTGCTTTTCTGTTAACAATCCCGGATCATTTTTATCCCTGAAGTATGAGTTTTTTAATATTTTCAAGCCTTTGCAAACCATTCAAACAAGAATTACTCACAGCAAAATGTAAAAATTCATATTCGTTATTCAAAAAATTTAATGTTCGTTATATTGTGGATTGCAAATGCAATAATATTTCGACATTTCAAACTACATTATTCTTTTCAAAAAATATAGTATAAAGACTGGAATTTCGAAAGGCTTAAAACATTGTTCCCGGTAACTGCTAAAAATGAGAAAATAAACTTACACAAGCCATATTTTCAGGGAATCTTGCGCGCATGTTATTAAATATTCTTCCTGTGAATAAGGATCGCGTACATACGACACACCGATGATTGCACGTCCATGAACTGTAAATTATTCCATTATCAGATAATGAAAATTACTGGAATGCAGTAAGTCACTTTAAACAATATGTGATATGATTCTAAATAAAGTAATGACATTTCATACATAAATATTGAGAAGATAAAAAAACAAACCTTTCGGGATCTTTTTTAAGGTTAAGAAGGATCCCTCTCTGTTTGACGTTTCCTCATTTAGAACTGTCATCGACGTCTGTGTACGTTTAAAGCTTGTATTGCCCGAACCGCTCTTCACTGTTTCGCAATTCTACGGTCAAATGTTTGAGTTGCTTGCTTTTAACTTTTTGCCGAAGTGTAAGCGGTGTTTCCAGTTTCATTTAGTCTTTTGAATTAGTCGCTGACTTACTCATTCTCGATTTAAACCTTTCATATGAGACCAGCTATTCTCAATGTAAGTTTATATCTTTACATATCTGATTGTCTTATGCGGGAATTCTTGCTATATGGGTTATGATGTGTTGCTAATCTCCAACATTCTGTATTACGTCCTGAGATCTTCCTATCTTTCTCATTCTTAACATCCTTTTTGATTCTCAATTATTTCTACTGCAATTATTATGATAACTGTAGTCTTTAACCTTATTATTTGTTATTTTCCGAATTTTCTTGTTTTTTTATTTAAAATTATTAATCTGTTCGGTGCTTTTATGTGCTTACTAATTTTAATGTGATCGCTGTCTGAAATCTTTCTTGGAATATTCCATTTTTCGGTTGAAGTTCGCGAAATGTTTGGGCATTGAGTGTTGATATAATTTTATAGAAAGATATCTTCTTCCCAGATAATTTTTTTCTTTGTTTTTTTAAATTCACAAAACTAATTCCAGAATGGCACCGTATAAGGAAGATGAAGTGAAAGTAGATAATGTGACAAAGATTGTTGACACTGCAAAACTGCACTGTGTCAGTAGTGTCCATGTTAATTTGCATGTCTCTAAGGTTTGTTGCTTACGAACTTTTGATCTGCTGTTATCTTGCTTGCCGAAATAGGTTTGCTAAGAAATGTTGAAAATTAAAGTCAGATTAATAAGTAGTTATTAGTGAGATATCTTTCCGAATACTAGCTTATCATATAATATTATTAAAAAACGATTTATTTTTTTACTTTTGCTACTGAGAGAAGAAGAAATATCATTCGAAAATGTTGTATTATCGGTACGAAAATTGTATTAGAATCATGACGAGATAATATGTAAAAGAATTTTAAATTGTTCAGGTTGTGGTTCATCCGCTAGTGTTGCTTTCTGTGGTTGATCATTTCAATCGCGTGAGTAAAACTCAAAATGTAAAACGTGTGGTTGGCGTTTTGCTAGGCAGCATGAAACCAGACAGGACGCTCGATATCGCTAATAGCTTTGCTGGTAAATCCTTTTCTGCTTTCTTTTTCTCCTGTTTTGTTTTCTGTTTTCATTTCATACCTTTTTATGATCTTACTAGTTACCGAAATTACTTAATTTTCAGTTCCTTTTGATGAGGATGAACGAGATAAGAAAACTTGGTTCCTCGATATGGATTATTTGGAAAGCATGTATGGCATGTTCCACAAAGTAAGCATTTCATTATCATCAGCAGATTATCAATCCATAAGATATGCCAGTTAAATGTTTTCTACATATGTACGTTTTTATGAAGTTTTTATCTGTGATCTATGAACTATTTAGGTTGCTGCACGCGAAAGAATCGTTGGATGGTATCACACTGGACCCAAACTTTGTCAAGTTAGCACTTGTGATTTGCTTATAAATTCTTGTAGTTAGTGGCACCATTCCCTCATTTTAATTTTTGTTGGGAACTATGATAAAAAGAAGTTAGTATTCGATATGGCAGATGGGGAATAGTGCATTACTTACAAGTTTGTGTTTGCAATAATTGGACATGGTTCGATTCCTTTCACCCGCGTTGCAGAGTATGATGATCATGACGGGTAGCACTGGGCTCTGAAATGGAATGAGTGAGAAACCCGGTCTGATTCTGCTTATTCCTTTCTCAGAAGATCGGTTCTTTGGTTAATATGTTTCTCAATTTATATGTTGATATTTTCATGAACTTCCAGAACGACATTGTGATCAACGAGCAGTTGAAACGCTTCACATGTAATCCTGTTCTTGTTGTTATACAGGCCGAACCAAAAGATTTAGGATTGCCAACGGAAGCTTATGTGGAGGTGCAAGAAGTCCATGCTGTATGTTATTTTCCTTGATTTGATGGAATTATTTATAGGGATTTGTCAGATTACCGACCTTTAAGTAATTTATTTTTAACTTCTGCAGATTTTTTTCTTTTCTTTGATTCCTTTTCTATTATCAGACGTCGTTTCAGGATGGTACACCACCAATCAAAACCTTCGAGCATGTCCCAAGTGAGATCGGTGCTGAGGAAGCCGAAGAAGTTGGAGTTGAGCATCTCTTAAGGTGAATTTTTTTCCCTTAGTTGTGTTAGTTTCCATGAAAATGGAGTAGCTCTTCACCAAAGCTTTTGATTTTCCAGGGATATCAAAGACCAGACAGCAGGAACTCTTTCTCAAAGAATCACTGATCAGTTAATGGGACTGAGGGGTTTGCATGGGCAATTGCGAGATTTGCAGTGTTATTTGCATGAAGTAGCTGACGGTAAGCTACCAATCAATCATGCCGTTATCTATTATATACAGGTATTTTTATCATTTCCCTGCAGTAAAATTTAATACACCATTGGATGTTTTAATGTCAAGAATTTCGGTTTTCATCATAACTCCATTTTTGAAAATTTCATGTTAGCAGGATTGATTATTTTCTTAAATAAGCTATTAAATTTCGAATTGTGGACACGCTGCAGGAATGTTTCAGTCGCAGAGGAAGATGGTTGCATCTGCCTTTGGTTGATCTAATAACAGTCTGAAAAAATTAGAAAAACTAAAGTAGAAATACAAGTTGTTTTCAATTGTAATGTGTTATGACGGAAATAGAGGAGGAAAAAGGAAAAACACGTGTGTTGGAATATTTCATTTTTTACCTCATGATGTTAGCTTTTCCAACTTGAACTTTTCAATTATGCCGTCTTTGCTGTATTGAGGAAGTGTTAAATCTTCTACCCGATGTCACGTCGCCGCAATTTGTTGAAGCGCATAATGTGCAGACAAATGATCAGTTGATGTGCGTTTATATGGGATCTCTCGTACGAACTGTTATTGCTCTGCATAATCTCATTGATAATAAGGTAATGATATTCGTTAAAAAGATAAGAGATAGCTTCTAAACAGCATATTTCCAAACTATTCTAATATTGAATTCATCTAATGAATTCTTTCAGCTTTCTCTACAAAAGAATGAAAAGGATAAGGAGAAAGTTGAAGGAATAGGAAAGAAAGATGAAAATAAAGAAGAAAAAAAAGAAAATAAGGATACGAGAGACAGCAAAGAAGGTGATAAAGAAAAGGAGAAGGAAGCTACTAAAAAGTCTTTCTGATCATTTCCATTGCTGACTTGATTTATCAATTATTGGCTTTTATTTTGTGACCCAAAACTTTTACGAATAAATCTGCAAAAAGGATAATCGTTACATGAGAAGGCAGAAGCAAATGAGCGAAGGATTATGTCTAATGGAAGTGCAAGGTCCTTTCTAGGTCTTTTTTAACTAAGGATTTTTCAACTAGTTTAGTGTAATCATTCTATCGAGAGAAGGCACGTATTGCTCTCAGTACCATGGTTATCATTACCAATATAATTATTTCACCATTATTGTTTTATATGAAGAATGATAAATATTTTAAAGATGCATAAATTTTATCTTAAATTTCATTTTTTACCAACTGATAAGAAGTTAATTTAGATATTTTTTTCAGCTTTAATCCCTTCACTTATACCTAATAATAGTTGCAGTCGTTTTCATATCACTTAATCATGTGATGCTAAGCGTTATGTTTGCGTTAAAGAACTAATAGAGCGAGACCTTACTTCCGTAATTTATAAGATTTCTCTGTTGAGTTCAAGTGCATCCTTTGAATATTATAAACCATTCGGAGTAAGCAAGTTTAAAGAGTTCGATGCCACAAATCCAGTTACTCGCTGCAGTTATTCGCTAAAAAAACCATTCTGTTAATATTGCAATCCTTATGCTTTATCAGTAGCTTAAGGCGTCGATTTTGATAGTTTGTTTGTGCGGTTTTTGTTTGGCGTTCGATGAGATAATCAGTATGGTTCGGCATATTCGTAATATAATGCGGCATATTGATTATCAATTGAAAATGTAAGTTACAAAATGACTGCTGCTTGCACGATTGTTACAAATAGAAAAATTCAGTGCGTCGCCTAGATAACATATAGATAATAAATATCTATGTTATCTAGGCACTGAAAAATTTTGCGTATAGCAGCTTTGGATAATTCATTCATCCTTAATAATAGTAACGTTACTTTTTGATACTCGATTTAATAGGTATGTATATATCAGTGGTCAGTTCTTTCAATTTTAAGAGAAATGTTAACAGTTAATTGCATCTGAGTAATTAGATCAACTCACAAAAAATTGATAGCTCCATATTTTACAATCCTTTCTATTCCAAATGTGAAATTAAATTAAACTTCTGCCAAGTTAAAAAAGAAATTGAACCGTCATAAATATAACATATTTTATCGCAATAAATACTTTTTGTTTTTACCATGCTGTTAGATTTTAATAAATTGTGATATTACGTATTTCAGTTTTCCATAGACGGAATGCAAGATTTGCTTATAGGAAATATAGTACCACCTTGTAATTAACTATGCTATCTTTGAAATGCGAGAGGAACGGTTATATTTAAATTAAGCTTGAAAAAAAAATGTTATAAAATGTCGAGTTTTTGTCATACGGCAGTAATTCATTTATACTGTCGTGCAGTTGTTAGCTGATTTCATACTAGTGATTGCTTATTTATTGCAATTATTTCATTAAATGTTATTGAAACTGGCTTAAAGTGTGGAGTAATTATAAAAATCCATTTAAATTCAAATGATTATTGATAGACTGAGAAATTAAGGAATGTGACAATTTTTATGATATCTAAGATTAAAATTATTCCACAGATTCAATGCCAAGAGGAACGCACAGTAGTCTTATTTTAAAAAACCCGGACGCAGACAAAGTTCATCCAGAGGTAAATCATTTGCTTTAGATAGTAAATTTATCAATTCTTCTTAATAAATTTCTGAAAAGAAAAAATCTGACAAAAATTGGCCTTATCAAATCTAAATAATTTTATCATGTAATAACAAAAATTATCAAACTTCTTAGACAAATAATAATTTGAAAATTTGTCAGTGGAAATTCGTTTGGATTCCAGATTAGGAAAGCATGCGAGAAATTCATAATTTCCGATGACAATCTTATGAAGGTCTCAAAAATCATGGAAGATGAAATGAACCGAGGTTTACGGGACGAACCCAGTAATAATGATTAAATATAGCATGAAAATTACATTACTAATTTAAAGTTATAAGATTGACTTTTATTTAAGGATAGATTATGTGACTATAGTTTTTAGACTAGCCAGTAACTTAGAATGGATTTTTATTCATCTTTACGAATCTTTTTTGTAATACATTTAAACTGAAAGTTATAAATGCGAAAAATATAATAGTTCGAATATAATTTCCAGTTTGAATATATCACGTGTGTTAATCTACTACAGGCTGCCTGAAAATGTTACCATCGTTCGTTCGGGCAGTTCCAAACGGTACTGAGCGAGGCGATTTCCTTGCACTTGATCTTGGCGGTACTAATTTTCGAGTGCTGCTAATTAAGTTAAAAGGTAATGTGGCCGAAATGACTGGCAAAGTATACCGCATACCAGAGGAAATTATGCGAGGTGTTGGCACCGTGGTACATTTTACATTTAATTTTTAAATATGCTAGAATACTTACACCTTGAAAATAATCACAACTTGAAAGCTGTTTATTTAAATCAAGTGGAAACTACAAAATTATTGAATTTGTCTTGATTAACGCCATTATAATTTTCTAATTTTTGTAGCATGCATAAAGTCATTTGAAGTGATTGTTCGATTTCTCAACTAATTGAATGACTGACTAATTGACTGCTAGACTGAATGATTACTGATAGTCTAATAAACTTGAAATTTACTAATTTAAGAGAATATCGAACGTAGAAAATTGTATAGCTGGAGAGTAATATTCGTTTTATTTCTTTAGATTAGCCAATTTTTTATAATAAAAAAAAATAATGCACTAAATCTTCTCCAGTCAAAAACGAAGTTATTGTTTGTTGATTTTGAAGAAAATTAATTTTTTTTGAATTTCCATGCTTCTTAACATATTGTTGAGTACATTGAGAGCTCTTTTTTATCTTTTAATTTTTTGCTTTTAGCCATCACATTTAATTTTTAATCTAATAATCGGAAATATTATCACAAAGAGCTGATTGATTGCCCCTGAAAAGAGAAGTGGAAAAGTTGATATCAATGATGATTAATGATGATATGAGTTGATGAATCACCTTTTTTAGCTGTGAATGGGAATAATGTTACATTCTTCAATAGCGATTTTTGGAAAAGATTAAAAGATTTGTTTGGATTAGGAAGGAACATAACTTCGTCCCTTTTTTTTCTGACCTTTAGCAACAAATCGATTCTTTAACAAAATTGGGCTAAAAATTTGTAGAATGTACAAAAAATGATTATATTTTCAAATTATAATTACTTAATTCGTATCAGAAGTGGATGAATTTTTATTTCTTGTTTCTGTTGCACTTAAATGTAAAGCTGTTTTTAGAAAATTTAATCATATCATTCATTGTTGAATTGCATTTTATAATTTGAATAGATCCGTCACGAAGTTACAAATTATTTAATAGTTCTTTAGGAAAATTGACTAAACTTGTGGCTAATTTCTCTTCACTCACCACTTCATAATTTTCAAAAATCTTTAGAACCAGGATCATCGATTACAATGTAATCAGTAATATTCTTAGTTAAATTGAAGTGATAAGGAGTTATCTTGCACGTGAAATCTTTTTAAACGTTTACTAGCATCGAGTGAATCTACTTCTTTAATGAGATATATAAAATGTAATAGCACGTATTTCTCCTATCTTTCACGAACGGATATATTTATTACGATCTCATAATCATAGAACAAAATGATTAAATGATGAAATCCTCAAATGAAGCCATCTGTACATCACTAATTCGTTTACAATTTATTAATCAAGAACGGTGACGGACATTTGAGATTGAGACAATAAGCGGAAAATGACTGGAATATTCCTGCTCAAGAATTTAATACTATTAACAAATATAACATTGACTGTACTATTACTTTAATCCATAAAAGTTTGGGTGGACATTTCTATGCTGTATGGAAGTGGTAATGATTAATAGGTGGAAGGATGATTATTTCAAGAATTTCGGGTGAGAGATGCTTTCATAACTTTCTAGTAGAAATAAATATATCTGTGTTAAATTATCATATCAATTTTGCATTGATCAACGACGATTTATAGCTATTTGATCACATTGGACAGTGCTTAGCGGATTTCCTAGAAGAACATGACTTGAAAGAATCTAAAGATTTACCACTTGGTTTCACATTCTCATTCCCTGTACAACAAGAAAATCTCACCTCTGGCAAACTTATTAGCTGGACGAAAGGTTTTAATGCAAAAGGAGTAGAAGGTCATGATGTTGTCGAGTTTCTCCGAGATGCATGTAATCGACGTAAGGTATAATAATATCCAATTTTTTTAATTTAACATTTTATCCTTTCTTTACTTATTTATGCGTGATTATTTATTTCAGCTAAAGTTAGTGAATAGATGACTTCACATTACAATCATTATTTTTTATTCCTTACCTTGAATCAATTACCATTTGCATTCATTGCGAACCATCTACTAAAGCTAATAATTAATATATCACTCAGATTGATAATTTCATTTTCAAATACTGTAAATTTTACATTTCGCTAAAGTATTTAGTCTAAAAAATTTAGGATATTAGTGTCGATGTGGTAGCACTGCTTAATGATACAGTCGGCACATTGATGGCATGTGCCTTCAAGGACAATACTTGTCAAGTCGGCATTATTCTTGGTACTGGCACAAATGCATGCTACATGGAAAAGCTCTCCAATTGCCAAAAACTTAACAAATATGGTTTTGATAAGGACAATGATCCAAAAGAAGTTAGTCACAAATAATTTAATTAATAACTTTGTCAAATTAAATTCAAATGACAGTAATTCAAACAGCTTTATGTATTTTTTTTGATTAACAGATTAAAATCTATTTTAGATGATCATAAATATGGAATGGGGAGCTTTCGGCGATAATGGCTGCATAGATTTTCTTCGTACAGAATTTGACAAGGATGTCGATCGTGGCTCCATCAATCCGGGTAAACATCTGTAGGTTTTCTCTTTTATGCACATTCTCCTCTTTTTTTGTATGTTGTAATTTGGGGATCAATTTAAAAGTGTTTTATAATATAAACGCTTTCAAATATATTCTATTGTACTTGAAGCTTTGAAAAGATGATCTCTGGGATGTACATGGGAGAAATTGTGCGCCTTATTCTTGTAAAACTTGCAAAAGCCAAAATGCTCTTCGATGGTGATTATGAAGCTATTTCAAAGCGAGATTGTTTTCCAACCAAATTTGTCTCCGATATTGAGGAGTTCGATTTTTTTCCTTTTTTCTTTTTGGTGATATTGTTTATGGTTTATCAAATAATTTTTAAATCATTTGAACTAAAATTTACATTTTGAAATATCTTTTTGTCTCTTATTTGTTTGTTTACACTTCTGCTGTTGAACAATTTGTATAACATAAATGAATATTGACAAAAAGTAGACTCTTTCATCTTATCTTCAATTTTTTGCTAATATTTTAATTAATTTTAGAAACGCTCCGTGCAATCAGTAGTATTTATGTCTTCTTCAGGCAAAAAGGTCTTGGAGATTTGCAAAGAACACTTCAGATTTTGCAACAAATCGGGATCAATAAGATAAGTGATAGCGATTGCTTCCATGTTGCATACGTTTGCGAAGTAGTCAGCACTCGGTAATTCTTTCCTTTATTCTACCAATTCATCCTTCCATTTTTATTTTTGGATCATTAATTTGTATCCTTTATTGTTTTGCTTTTGTTTTCGTAAATGCGTATAGTCTTAATTGACATTGTTTATTGCAATATTTTTAACTGAATTATTACTTAAATATTCCTTCCTAACTTCATTTTTTGCTTTTAAGCTTTCGCCTGAAATGCATTATAAGTCTTTAACGAATAAACAGTAAGAACTAAAAATTAGGAACCATTCATGACTTGATAGGTGCTAACTAGTCGAATTAAACCCACCACTTTATAAATTGAAATTCAAGTTTTTCCTTCCCAGCAAATTAATTGTTATTAATAGAATAAATCATTTTTAGAGCTGCATATCTCACTGCAGCAGGTATATCATGCATTTTGTCTCGTATGCAAAAGAAGTTTGTAACAGTGGGAATTGATGGATCCGTATATCGGTTTCATCCAAAATTTGACAAAGTTCTCGATGCGAAAATCAACGATTTACTACCAAAAAATCTCGATGTATGCTTAAATTTAACTGCTGAGTTTTAAATTTTAATAATTTGAATTTTTTTCTTTTAAATTAAAAAAATTTTCACTTGAATTCAGATGAGCTCTCTTCCATCTTTTGATGTAATGTACAGCACTTTCTTATTGTTTAAAACATTTAAATGAGAAAGACAATCGCTATGTTACAATTTCGCCCAGCAAAAATTTATAGTGTCATTACGAGAAAACTATTTTCTCGTAATGACACTATAAAAAGTCTAAATTTGTTAAAATTTCATCAGGAAATCATTTTCAGTATCAATTAATGCTGTCAGAAGACGGAAGTGGCCGCGGAGCAGCGCTTGTTGCTGCTGTTGCCGATCGGATTAGAAAAGAAAGCAAATAAGCTATGGGTGATTGCCGGAATAGAATATTATCAGTAGCATTATCACTAAGATTAGTGATAATGTTGATTGCATTATTCTAAATAACACATAGCTAACCTTTCCACTTACTGATCAACTTTCATCATTTAATTTTTCTTGTGAAAAATATTTTGGATCAGTAAGATCTTCTCACTTTTATTGATTAGACCCACTGAAACATTTCGCAATTCACAAATACTGCTTACTTCTTCCTATCATATTTTTCAAGAATTATAGATCAAACTCTTTTCATTTCTCCGGTATTTATGTACAAACGAGCAAATATTAATGAAAAATTAATATTCAAAATGAGACATTAAATTAATAGCGACTATATTTTTAATTTGAATACAATAACAATTGATCAGCAAAGGAATGCTTACTTCTTGAAGTTAAGCAGAACTTTTCACTTTCATCAGTTGAAGTTGAACTTTATAATTCTACATGCAAATTACTAACGATACTTCGGGATCGATTAATCTTCACAATAAAAATCTCTAACTATCGAGAGATATTTTCACATGCGTATGTCAAGATATGTTTTCCACTTAAAAAAAAAATCCAATATTTGAATAAATGTATAATGAGGAACGGAAGATAGCTGTCATTACGAGAAGAACTGTCGTAATTTTTTAGAGAGAGTTGTAGTAAGCTGTCGATGAAAACTATCGTTTTATTTGATCGAAAGATTAGGAACCATTAAGAAATCGAAAGTGATGTGATCAGCTTACAATGATAAATTATTGTGTGATGTTCAAATGATATCAAAGTAATGCTAAAAAAGCTATTGAGGAAATCATATCATTCACTTTTCGTATCTTTTAGTAAGACGAATCAGTTAATTCAGTATTCGCGTAATAAAAAATGTAAATTTAATATTTTCCCTTTTCAATGTGCCATTTAGAGACATTGTGACTTATAAAATGAAATATAAGAAGTGATGCAAAACAAGCAAAAAAACGGAAGGATAAAGTAGAAAGAGAAATATTTAATGATATTTTTCCTAACTTCAACTTATCAAAATCTATTTAAGGAAAGCAACTACACAACAATTAATATTTTTGCTAATGTAATAACCACAAAATAGGGAATGAATTTGAAAAGTTGCTTCGATTATGCAAATTTTCACATTGGCTTGAAATATGAACTATAATCGCTATTTAGCTATTAGTTCATTTATATAGGTTTGCGAAAGGTGTTGCAGCGTTGTGTTTCGCGGAAATTTAAGGTTTTATTGTTTTATTGAGAGATATTGATTTAAAGTATGAAGTGAAATGTTTATTATTTTATATGGATAACTTATAAAGTTAACAAATAATTTTTATAAGATGGAATAAATTTCATCACAAATTATTTTCAGTAGGAAGAAATTTATGTGGCTGGCAACTATTTCACCTATTTTAATCATTTATTTGATTGAACTAGTAAGCTTTTGCTCATTGATTGAAATTTCAAATCTGTGAAATAATTAAAAATACCAATTCATTTAAGAAATTTTCATGAACGATTGTTGAAATTTTCAGCCTTATTTTTTTAGTCAATAATAAATTAAATACATCAATAATAAATTAAATATATACAGTTTATATAAAGAATTCTAGGGATTTAATGGATTTTTTCGTTTCTTATGTGTTTTAGCTTTTTTTAAATCAAAAATTCGAGGAAGAATCAAACATTTAATAACTTGAAAATCACTTTTCTAACATTTAGCCAAACTTATATGCATATTTGAAGAGTATTTTCATATTCCGTAGAAAATATCACATCCTTGCAAACGCTTCAATCTTATTAAAATATAACTGAAGATCATTTTATAATTCGTGGAGGCTTTCTTCAATCAGCTTCACATTGATTATCATTAACATTATTATTGATTCATTGATTGAATTGCAACATTAAAATTCAGTCTTAAATAATAATAAACTAAATATACGTTATTCGTGTAAGAAACTTTTAGCATTGCATTCTGTGCCAGAGAGACATCGAGCAATCTGATCTGAGTAGTTCGCACAAAATCCAAAGAATTCGATTTGTAAAACGTGAAACTGCAAATGATACCATAGTGGGCCCACCAAGTAGTAAAGGACAACGAGGTCCACGAGGTCCAACAGGTCCACCAGGAGCTCAAGGCGAAAGAGGACGGCGCGGTCAGAAAGGTCCGCGTGGTCCACCTGGTTCACCCGGCCCACCTGGTCCAAAGGGTAAAGAAAGAAGAAGCTTTGGTAAGTTTTTTTTAATTAATTATATTTCGAGTAATTTTTTCTTGAATTTTCATCAAGAAGATTCTGAAAAAAATAATTTTCGGCCAATTGATTATTTTTAACAATTTTCAAAATTTGTTAAACTTACACTAAAATTAGTTGCAATTAAGCATATTCATTTAAGAAAAACCAGCATTGGTGGGAATAGCAGTGGGTTCGCTGATTGCATGTTCGCTAGCACTGATATTTTTCCTCCTATCAGCAACTCGAGTGATATTGGGAGGTTCGCATGATGCTGAGGAAGAGTAATCCAATTGATAGTAATGAAGTGAAGGTTAATATTGCTATACATCTAAGGAAAGAACAATCACACATTCATCAATTATTTACTATTCTGTAAAAAGTCTTTCGTCGTATTTTGAAATTATATGAAGTAAAATTGTTAAAAAAAAACTCTGACAATGCAAACAACAAATGATGCATTTTGATAAAAGAAGGCGACACTTTACAAGAAAGATCACAGTTCAATTTATTTCTTTCACTCTTTTGGAATCGATCATTCAAACACTGATCAGAAAATGTTCAGCATATCGATAGTCCATTTTTTTCTCTCAAAACGTCAGTGGAATTTATAGTAATGAATAGATGATTTAATTTTTTACAAATTGCTCAAATAATAATCGATTAGACTAAAATAATATAGAAGTCAATTAACGCTTGAATTAGAAAGAGAGAGAAAGAGAGAGAAAAGAGAAACAATGGAAGAAAGAATTATCAGTCTTTCGTGAGAAGAATTAAATAGCGATGGAATTCAACGATTTTATCTATTTCAAATGGCTCTTTTAACACATACACACACATATCATCAGAACAATGCCTGCTGATAAATGATATCGGCATGTTCGGGCTATGATAACAATCTTCAAAATATCATAACTTTCATCATTTTCCAAATGCTTCGAGAAGAATAGCTAATCATTTTTCGCAAAACTTATATTAATTATAAAAATTTAAATGTCTAGTTGGATGTAGCATTGCATAAAAATGGATGAAAAATGATACTTCTACAATTAATTCATAATCAAGATCATATCATTTAAGATTGCATTTCAATCTGTTAACTCATGCATAACCTGAAAAAATTCACTAATATCATCAATTCTATGAAAATATAAATACAAAACGAAAATTATCAATCAGATGAGCCCGCTCTCATTCTTCAAAGTAACTACGTTGAAATTTTTGATAGTTTTCTTTTTCAGTTCGACATATGTACTTTTTCCATCATCCACTGCATTATCATCGATACCTGGCAACGTAGATTTACCATTATTCGGTTTTGATCTAAAACTCTGATAACATCGTTATCATTCTCAAGCAAAATAAATGAATCGTAATGATCATTACTTCATTCATATCTAGACTTGTTTTTTTAGATTTTATAAGTTCTATATTTTTGACTAGTTATTTAATTTCAGATTTTCTGTTACACTGTATTCACTAAAAATATCAAAAAAGATTGAAATATCACTGGGAGATTGAACAACGACAATGAAAAATGAAAAATTTTGAATGAAACTTACACGGGGAATACAATGGAGAATGTTTTTGTTTTCTTGAAAATATAATAAATAATAATGAATACAATTAATACAAGCAGAATAGCACCAGCGATGATGAAATATTGCTTTAACTCATCATATTCCATCAACGATATTCCTCCAACAATCACTCTATTTAACCTTATCGACGCGTTTTACTCTCATTTTGTTTCTATCCAAGCACTTCTCGAAGTTGACAGATCAAGAAGAACGAAAAAAAGGAAGGAAATGCAAACTTCTTTAAGAAAAATTCTTGCCGCATTTTTCTTTTATTATGATAAAGAAATTGACATTTGGGATTTAATGCATGAATTATTCGTGGAATTAAAAAAAGGAGTTCATTTATAACCGTTAAATGAAGCAGAAAGACGAAGGGTTCGTCATCGTTTAAATTGAATGCAAATTTATTATTTAACAACTAACGCATTCACTTTAAACACATCAAATATAAATTGTTTGAATGTAATTCGCTTTTGGCTCGAATAAGTACAATGACAACTGAATTAGAATGTTCTTTTTTCGACTACCATTTATACAGAAAAAATATTCTAGTAAGAAATTGTAAGAGGTATCATATATTGATTGATCTGGAGTCATTGGAATATGATTACCCGAGAAATCTCCTAGTACGAACTTACAAGAAAATGAAGTTCGTGTGTCGCAAATATCTTACAACAATTATCGACAGAAGAAAGCCATCTTTCTGCATTTCTATAAATCGAAAAACATTTGTTTGTGTAAAATAACACTTTTTTCTCGATAGCAGCCAAGAAAAGCGGGCCCAATCATCGATTTCAAGTATACTTTTGGGGGAAAGTTTTCTTTTTCCAAAGCGACGAAAAAAAATTGGAGGAAATCGTATCATTCATATGTTTATGACAAACACTAATGATTTAGAAGCATTCGAATTCGCATCGGAGGAAATTATTAATCCATCGGTTAATTTTAACATTATGCTTTTTTTCTTTGAAAAAATCTAATCATTGTTACGATGAAGAAATCAAAGCAAATATTCAAATGTTTGAAATGAACTAATAAATTGCTGCACATAACTAACTGATTTGGTGAAATTAAACAATTTTTCAAATCTTTAAGTTCAACCATTATGATACCATTAATTTTTATGTGGAAACAAAAGGTCACGAATTATCACCTCAACATACTTGTCCTACTGGACTTCGCGTTTAAGATTATATTAACTTAAAAATCAAAAAATAATATCAACATCATGACAATCTATTATTATTCATTTATTTTTAGTTATTTTACAGAAATATGCAGATTTTTTGAGTGACAAACTGCTAGTGGACTGAAAACACATAAGAAAATAAGGAATGCACAAATGAGTTTTTTATTTTGAATGTCAAACTGATAAATATGGAATGTTTGTGATTATTCTGAGAAGGTCGTTCCTGCTATTTGGTTAGCTTTAAAATTAAAATTTTCTGTCACATTAAAAACTAGAAAAAATTCCCGTAATTATAATTAAAAATTAACAAAGTTCGATTAAAAAATTGGGAATGGGAGAAAAAAAAATCCTATAGTAATTTTTTTAGTTGGAATGCGACATTCAATACAACATATTCCCAAGCTGTGATACTAATGATGATTGACCATAGTTGAACATTGGCCTTAACACCACATCGAATTGTTTCGCTCAATCCATCTGTTAGTTTGCTTTTCGAAACTGAAAATGTCTGACCTTCGTCAGCCTCCGATCGTCTACTAATAAGTTAACAATCAGAAGTCGGTGGTGATCATACTTGTTTGAATTTTGAATAAATGCATGAACCCTACTTAGCATAGTATACTTCCGCTGAAATTGAAAGTTTTATCCTAGACAAATTTGAAATGAACAATAAAGTTCAATCTCAAATTTTAAAATTATGACAAATCGTCACTCTTATAATCAAAAATTATTCGTTCATTGTTTTTTTCAGCTTTTAATTCAATTAGAAAAATGTCGTTATAGAATTAAAATAGAGAATTCTACTAACATTAGAAATGTATAACATTAATCAGTAAAGAATGTTAAGAGGAAAAAATAGTAAGGGAGAAATTAGTGTAATACAACTCCTTGTAGAGGATATAACGAATGAATGAATACAGCGATCACTATTTGATTAGTGCACCTAGAAAAGCAGATCTGGGTTATCGCTGCGATATCATTCAATGTTAACGATGTTCGGAGGGTATTGCACCATCGAGAGTGACCCATCCATCCAGTCAGCCATATTATTACCAATGGTATTGCAATTCCTCCCCTACATGTTTCTTATAAAATTGCTTTAAACCATTCA